TGACATGGATATGATAAAAACCTTTTGTTAGCTAAGCTGATTTTTGACTGTTTAACTGAAACTTTTTGAGTGTTTAACCACAATTTGACATCACTAGACGTCGTTTATATAAAAATCTCCTTAGTTTTTCCTTTTCAGACTGATTAGGTTATGATATGTTTCGCTTGGTTCAATCTTTCTGTCCTAATTTCCTAGTAAGCCCAGCATCAGTGGGAGCAATTTCATGTTGTTCACTATACTGAGGTTTGTTATCATTTTTATGTGGAAATGTTATGCTGTTTGAATTTGTAACCGCGTTTTAATAAAGTTGAAATTAAACAGGAAATTTGGGTTTGTCTGAAAATGACAGTTTCTTTTTTCTTTAAAAAAAGGACAGTTTCTAAATAGAAAATGCACTTAGTTTTGAGATCATTTCCCCTCTCCCATAAGATTCTTAGATATGTTTCCTTCATGTATGAATCACATTCTTTCATCTTCATGAACATGACGTATGCACAGACACAAATTATACCAGCGTTATGCTTATGAAACGGATTGGTTAAAAATCTACCCTTTAAAAAATTTCTTTGTAAAGTTTCACGCTTGATATCTTAGTTGATCTGAAGTCTATTTTCTTTTCTCAGTCGCTTGGCCATCAGAAAACAGGTGGGCTCCCCAGTCACAATCAGGCTTCAGCAGCAAGGTAATTAATCAACGGCTGTTCATTTATGTCGTACGCAACTTATTCCATTATTCAAACAATCTATCTGCTATTAAAGGTTTCCATGTTATTGTTAATTTATTTCAAAATTAATATTTTGATTGTGTCTATACATCCACCCAATCACAGTATAGGGCACTATTTAGTGATCACGCCATTTCAAATGTGTTTCTGAATGTCTAGTGGATGAAAAAATAGTAGACTCGAGATTTCCCACAATACGCCTTGAAAACTAGTGATCATCCATGGTCACTAGAACAGCAAATATATCACAGAATGCTTTGTGAGAGCTCTCCTCTTAAAACATCATGGTATTTGTTGTGCCAGCAACAAATAACAAAGATGGTGGAGGCACCGTGCAGGGAGGCGGAGTTACCTGATCAACAGGGAGCGAAAATCAGTGATCATCTGTCCAAACAGTCAAATAACTGAGTTCACTCTTAAGTCCACTATATAGCCCCCGCTCTATATAGTGATTGAGGTATCTAGGGGTTACGGTGGACGTTCAGACACTGCCTTAGTCTTTTCTAAGGAATAAAATGATCTGTCAGCGGAGGCCAATCAGAGTTTTTTCCTAACATCTCCTTTCAACTGTAACATAAAATCCTTGGAAATAATATACAAGTAAATTATCTCATATTTGAGCATATTTATGATTAGTGATGTCCTTTATGATTGATTTTTTTTCAGTCATACTGAAAATGTTTCAACCTAACTTACTTCAGTATCAGGGTAACTTTTCCACAGCACTGTAGGAGTACAAAATGCTTTGTTCAAAGGTACAAAACAGAAGTATGAAGAGGCAAAAAGTAAGGATAATCTTTGTTGCTGTTTTTTTTTTTATCTGTTAGGTCCTAAGAAGATTCCCCTGGTTTGGGAAGAAGACATGCAGTTGTACTCTCAGTACCTGGAAAGAAAGGTAACCAGTCACGTTTTTGCAAAAAAAGCCACAAAAAACAAACAAACAGCAACCTTATTTTTGATTCAGAGCCAGTCTCCATCCTTCCCATATCTGTGAACTGTAAAGTTTTAATTGTGTGCCTGTGTATCTGGCAGGAGGAACTGAGGGCAGAATATGCTTCATACCTGAGAGAGCACCCAGAGATCCGAACCATGCTGTCCAGATATTTGCAGGATTTGCTGATTGTGAAACCGGACAATGTCTGTCAGTTTACTCGAATGCACTTTGAGTCTTCTACCTCCAGACGTTCCTCAGACTCTAAGCTGAAAACCACCAACTCAACCTGAAATGTAGTTTCACTTAAAATTCAACTGTTTACTTAAAATTTAACCTAACTGGTTACATACATAATTCTTTTTAGACCTGTTGTAATCAATATGTGTAATGTCAATACAAATCATCCTAAAAACATATTTATATTTATATTTCGGTTCACCTTTTTATCTCATGAAAGAAGAGATAATGTATTGGGGGCAGCAGCGCCAAAAAGTGGACAAAAAGGGGAAGGATTCTAGGAGCCCATGACTAACAGGAGTCCAGAGAAGCCCCTAATACAATTCTAATACTGACAAAACAGTAGGACACTCAATGATAAACCTCCAATCACACACAGATTTTTCTTTTTCCACAATATATTTGTAGCTGTTTTTTGTATGTTTAGAAAATGTTTTCCCTCAGAGAAGCTATGGATGTGGCCTCTGGATTGAAATGTGCAGAGTAAATAAATGCAACACTTGAGCCTTAAATGCTTCTTTAATCGGGGCCCAATCTGTGCACTGTCTCATTAGGGAATAAATAATCCACATAAGGTGAGTAAAAACCTTAAAATTGCGCATCTCTGCAGTTAAATTATTTTAAACATTTGAGTGATACTGGTATCGTTGCCTTGGGTGAAGGTATAGATGTTAGCATCTCCCTGCAGCCTCTGGATATGCTCCTGATCAGGCTGCAGATGTTCTCCTGAAGGATCTCCTCCCAGACCTTAAAGCATGTTGACTCCTGGACAGCCTGTGGAGCAGAGTAGTGTTGGAGGATGGAACAAGATATGCTGTTTTACATGTGCTCGACTGAATTCACTTCTGTAGAACGGGCCAGTCCGTAGCATTGAAATTCATTAAGGACATTACAGCCCTGCAAAGAAATTCATCCCCAAACCAAAACTGACCTAAAACCAAACCAGACAGACTAGAGGGTGTTGATGGCAGAATTACATCCTTCACTGGTAATGTCATAATATTGAATCTGACTTGGAGTTGCAGAATATTGTTTAGGTGTCCCGTTTACTTTTTAAGCAATCTATAATAAATGTTATCATAAAATCAAGTATCTTTGGTTTTACATGTTTTCGTAAACTTAATTCCCACTACTGGATCAGAGGTAAAAATCCATCCTAACAGTGGGGCTTCAGGCTGCACAAAAAAACCCTAAAACTCGACACATGCTTCAAGGTGTCAATAGCACCGATAAAATCATTAGATAAAACAAAAAAGAAAAAGAACAGACTTATGTTACG